CCGCCACCATTTTGAAATCCAAGATGGCGGCTACGGATTTAAGAAAAAGTGGGAAAAACGGTTGCAACCCATCAATGTTGGGTATTTTTGGAATCGTGATGACGTCTAGAGAATGAAAATCGATATTCAACGCCATTTTTAAATCCAAGATGGCGGCTTCCGCTCTCAGAAAAAGTGGGAAATACGGATGCCGACCCATCAATATGGGTATTTTTGGAATCGGGATGACGTCTAGAGAATGAAAATCAATATTCAATGCCATTTTGAAATCCAAGATGGCGGTTTCAGATTTCAGAAAAAAGTGGGAAATACGGATGCCGACCCATCAATAGGGTATTTTTGGAATCAGGGTGATGTCTAGAGAATAAAAATCAATATTCAACATCATTTTGAAATCCAAGATGGCGGCTACGGATTAAAAAAAAAGTGAAAATACAGTTGCTGACTCATCAATATAGGTATTTTTGTAATCGGGGTGACGTCTAGAGAATGAAAATCAATATTCGACACCATTTTGAAATCCAAGATGGCGGCTTTAGATTTCAGAAAAAGTGAGAAATACTGTAAAATACCCGTCAAAATTGGATATTTTTTAATGGAGATGACGTCTAGAGAAGGAAAATCGATATCCGCCACCATTTTGAAATCCAAGATGGCGGCTACGGATTTTAGAAAAAGTGGGAAATACGAATGCCTACCCATCAATATGGGTATTTTTGGAATGGGGATGACGTCTAGAGAATAAAAATCGATATCCGACACCATTTTGAAATCCAAGAAAGCCGCTTCCGGTTTAAGAAAAAGTGTGATATTCTATCAAAACCCGTAAATCTGTTTTTTTAGAATCAGGGTAACGGTTAGAAGCCGGAAATCGACGTCATTTAGAAATCAAAGACGGCGGTTTCCTATTTGAGGAAAATTGTCAAATACCCTAAAATATAAGTATTTTTAGAACAAGGATGACACGTAGATGCCGAAAATCGATGTCAGACGCCATCTTGAAATCCAAGATGGCGACTTCTGTTTTCATAAAAAAGTGGGAAATACTGTCAATACTGTATTTGCGAAATCCCAGTAACATTTAGAGGCCACAAACCGATGTTGGACGCCATTTTAAAATCTAATATGGTTCAGCTTTGGTTCAGATAAAGTGAGAGATACTGTCAAATACCGGTCAATGTGGATATTTTTGGAATCGGGGTGACATCTAGAAGCCGAAAATCGATATCCAACGCCATCTTGAAGTTCAAGACGGTGGCTTCCGATTCCATATGAAATGCCAAATACCCTACAAATGGCGTAGAATATCGATTTGCGGCATCTGCGCGTCGTCCCCGTTCCGAAAATACCCATTACAGTGGTTTACAAATAAAATTAAAACAAAATAACTTCAATGTTTGATCCTTATGCTCAAACGCTGATCCAAAAATGTAGTCAAAAAAATTTTCAGTAGGATAGTTTTCTAGATACAGCTAAAAAACGACATTTCACTCTAAAAACAGTTTGTTTGCTAAAATATAAATATCTGTAATAAAGCTATATGAATTATGTTTACGCCAAATTATAGGTGAAAAAATTTGCTTTCGATCAACTGAACCTTTGTTTTTCAGTTAGATTAGTGGTATTGTTGTAAATTAATAGTTTGTTTAGTTTTTTGATTTTCTAAGATTGGCCATTGGATTTCAGTTAAATAATTATTTTTTGTTGTGGTAGTGCCAACAATACCACTAATCAACCTGAAAAATGATGTCTAGTTGATCAAAAGCAAATATTCTTATCTTTAATTTGGCGATAAAATATTTGATATAGCTTCACTACAGCCGGAGATATTTGTATTTTAGTAAACAACCTTATTTGAGTAAAATTTAATTTTGAGGGCTATTTTTGGAACTAAAGAACCACGAAATACATTTAAAAATGGCCAAAAGCTACCAACATTTTAAAAATATCTACTTTCAAACCGCTACATCTCGAAAACGGTGTGACTTAGAACAAATTTACTAAGGTGCTTTTTTATTGTAAATTTGATGTACTTTCATTATAAAAAGTCAAAAAAGTCATTGGACAAAGTTTTAGATTAGTTTTTAATAAATCATAACTTTTTTGTTCAACATTTCTCCATCTTGACCTATAGTGCAATAGATGACATTTTTGTCCCCTAAAACATATCAACAAATTAAAATAAAAAGAAAAATCCTTTTTTAAGAAAAAATGTTTTTAGGATTTTATTTAAAATTTAAAATAAGTTGGATCATTTTTTTAGACTGCTTATTTTTTTTTCAAATAGTCTCATCCATTATCTGCAATATTGCGCAAGACACCAAACCGATCGGCCAAACAGTTTTCGAGTAAAAAATTTCTGAAAATAAGCTTGACATTTTTCTATAAGCCCTTTTCAACAAAAAGGCTGGATTCAAATTGGCGATATTAATAAAAAAAATAAAAAAAATAAACCGATTTGCGAATTCGTAGGGAATTGCTCAGCTGTATCTTGAAAACTATCCTAGTGAGATTTTTTCTGACTGCATTTTTGGATTCAGCACACGATTTCACATGGGAAATGACCACCACTGTACAAAGTTCAAATATGATGTAAACCATAGTTATCTTAGGGTATTTGACATTTTTTATGAAACCCGATGGCCGCCATCTTGGATTCCAAAATGGCGTCTAATATCGATTTTCTTCATCTACGCGTCGTCCCCGTTTTGAAAATACCCATATCTTAGGATATTTTACCCTTTTCTGAGCCTGATGGCTACCATATTGGATTCCAAAATTCGGATTTTCGGCGCCTTCGCGTCTTCCTCATTCAAAAAATTCCCATATCGTAGGGTATTTGAGACTTTTCCTGAGCCCGATGGCCGCCATCTTGGACTCCAGAATGGCCTCGTTAATTTAATTTTCGTTTAACATTAAATAACATTTTATTACTACATACAATCCCTATTACTACATACTATTTTCACGCGACGCGTGAAAAGTCGAATGAGCCCCGAATTGAAGTGAAAGTTGAAAAAAAAAAACAAAGGAAGCCGTTTACGAGTCATTCATTGCGTCAATTGAAACAAGTATTTGCTTCAAATGAAATGAACTGCTGCACTTGACGAACTAAACAAGCGATAGCCAAGTCATTTTTCGAAAATGCAGAACCCTGACTTCAGATTTTAAATTTGGTTCCGCTTCTCATTTTTCGTTACGGCAGATTGTACTACTCTAATTCTTTGAATTCTGAACATCCTAAACTCTGCCGGGTTCCGGTGGGATTAATTTAAGCTTTTACTAAGCAATGCACGCAAAACAATATGTGAATTTTTATATCACTTTCAAGTGCACATATCTAGATAAACATTTCAAAAGGTCCTATCTGCATTGATCGATTCTCTTCATCGACTTTCTCTTTCGTCAATAACTCAGCTGCAAAACCTTTCCCTGTTGTATTTGACGTTTTGGACGTTAGATGAGAACCTCCTTTATCATACTATGTGGTAGAATTAGCACGAAATCTGCATAGCATTGGTTATGAAAAGAGAAAGTCGATGAAGAGAATCGATCAAAGCCAATAGGACCATTTGAAATGTTCATATATTATAACTGCGAACGGAATGAAATAAATTTCACATAAATTCACATTAGAAAGAATTAACTCATTATTGGGAGAAATGTAAGTGTGTTTCCAATGGAAACCACGTATTTTTTTCAGTTGAAAATAACAGCAAATCACTTCATTTTAGATTGTATTGCACATCGTTGTTGATGTGTCAAGCATACTGATATTAAAAATCTATCACTTTAAATTCAACTTATTTATCCTTGGATCATTATCATGTTTGCTGAATATGGATTTAAATAATACATTGCCTTGTTCATACTGCAAGCCTTGTTATATGTTATTCAGAATATAACCATGGAACATATATCACATTACTACTCAGATCACATGTGTCCAAGTGATATTGAACAACATTACAAGGCTTGTAGTAGAAGTAACATTGAGCAGTCAATTTGATAAGTTTGGCAATGTTTTGTTATAGAAATTATCTGAGAAATACACTATTACTGAATGCAGCAACAATTTCGTAATACTCGCGCTCATTATTTCGGGTGGAAATGGAGAATTATCGCTTTCTTGCTCTTAATAAATTTGTTGTTGACTTGCCATCTTCGCACAGTAATGTTTGGCATGTGCGTTTTTGACATTTGCTTCCAAAAGCAAAACTAATCAAATTCACTGAATGAAAACAGTGGTGCCAATGCAAATGATAATGATTTTGTTTTAGAGGTGTTATACAGTACATATTTTTCAAAGACAAATCACTTTGTTTCAAAACGCAAATCTCTTGAAAATCAATGATAAATCACTTCAATTCATAGTGTCGTGCCGCATGACAGACTGAGTCAAGTGCAAGAGCATTTGGATTAGATGTGACAACGCCGCGAGTGCGGTGAGGTGACTGGATTTCACTAGTGAGATTAGTCTCCGGGCAAACAAAATAGAGAGTTACGCGGTACAGAATAGACCTCACTGTTCTTATTTATCAGCTAAACGAACTGTCAAAAAGTGCAGCCAAACGAAGCATAAGCATATTTTGTTTCGTTTTTCTCGCAATGGCCGATCAATATATAAACAGTACATATCAAGCTGAACAATGCATTAGGTCCTAAGTAACATTGACAGATTCTCTTCGTCGACTCTTTCTTTGAATCCTCATCGCCATGATATCTAGCATCTAATACGAAAAACACGACAAGAAACGGTTCTGTATCCAATTAATCAACGAAATAGAAACTCCCTAATGCTCAGTTCAGCTTGATATCTTTAGTTTCGAACACTTTAGTTGTTGCTATGATGATGCGAACACACGATTGCTATGATTCCGGAAAACATTTTTGACCGGAGACTTCAATGCTGCGGGAAGCAACGAACTTCAATTCAAGAGTGCCTATCCAATCATTCCGAGCGGTAATTAGATTGATTTAACTTAACTAGTTGTACATACCTGATGAAGGATTGTTCAAGTCAGTCACAGCCCTCGGTAGTGGTAATTGTGAGTCGGATGTCGACCTGCGCAAGAAGACGAAACACAAAGTTCAGTACTCCCATAACTGTGCTAAAATATCAGCGATATGACGATTGAACAAATTCAACTACAGTTACACTAGAATTTTGTTAGTAAATCATCTACTACACTACAACACAATGAGCAACTATTCTACCAATCGAAAAAAAGTGACTGAAGAAAATCCGATTCGTGTTGAATTCGAGCGAAGAAAAGAAGTAATAATCAAACGACAACATCTTACACAAGTACCTAGTGGTGTGATTATGCGAGCGATTGTTTTGCAAGTCTTGTCTTGTGTTTAAGCTAAGTGTCGACAGAGATGCTGGTAGGGCGCCAACAGTAGCAGCACCGGCAGGCGAACGCTGCAGTTCATTGCTATCACATGCATATCTTTATTTGTCGTGATTAGTTGGTTGGTTGGTTCGTTGGTGGCAGATAAGAGAAGAGAAAAAAGAACAAGAACAATTGTACACACTCGTCTAACACAAGCGATAACGAATTACACACTAAGAACTGTGTTTGCATCGACCGTTCTGGATGGCCGTGTCAGCTTTGAATGCCCTGAATGTAGGCAATCGATTCACACATTCCTCGATCGATCAGCAGATGGCGCTGATCGATTTTCGCATTCAAACGGAATCGCTCAACTGTCGAGTGTCGGACGTTTTACAATTTAACTAGAAACTAGATAGGATTAGACGGCGAGAGCAGACAGAAAACCAAACCAAAACTAGATGGCACTGCCACAGCCAATGGCGACGATGGCGAAACGTGCCCTGCTTTGCTGATGCAAGGTAATACATTTCAAGGTCACGCAAATCGCGACACGATTTCGCGTTCAGGACGGTGGGGGTGAACTCAGGCTGATCTAATTAGCATTCCAAACGGGGTATGTGTAGGTAGTTAAGAATCGTTCGTTCGTGAGTTGGATTTAGTTCCACAGAAGGTACACACGGAAACTTGACGTTTTTTTTTTTATTATTTATTTCAATTTGATTGATTGCCACTGTCCTCCGGCGGCTGCGACCAGGAGGAGCATGGTGTGATTATTGTTTTATTATTAATAGTAATATCACAAAATGGCTGGTAGTTTCTTAGCATTATTAGTGCATCTGTTTTTCGCTTCGGCATTGGGTTGGTTTTCTGTTGCTCAGTTTTTATTCGCTGTTAATTTGTATAACGAGAACTACTCTCTATAAACGAGTGGCCAACGCGCTGGAATGTTGCGGAAAATATTGCATGCACTGTCCGCAACTTTACGGAGCCAATTTCCAGGTTTTATTCTAACGAATTCCATTGTTTGTGCTTTAGATATTATCTTTATTAAATTTTTACAGCTACTACACAGTAGTACTCTTTGAGTTAATTTTTGCAGCAAACATAATTAACATTCCGGAGTGCCTCTCGCAAACAATCCAGCCCGCACACACTTTGATTATTAAACAAAAAAAAAACATTCACACACACTCAAACTGCACGCACACGCAAACAACTTATAAGCTAGTGTTAACTAATCCTAAGGGCGTTTAAAGCAATAATCTGTGTCTGTCTGTCAGTTGGTTGAGTGTAGGTGGTGCAGAGGACAGAGAGAAAGAGGAGCGCGAAACCACATCAAACGTAGATCTCGTCAACGTACTTAATGTTGGTGTACTCCCGGCCGACCTGGAGGCTCTGCTGCTCGGCTCGCTTGCGCTGGAACAACGTCTGGATGTAGTGCTGCACGGCAAAATACACGAACTTGTACTGCGCTTCGGTTTGGACCATGCCGGAGCGTTGTGACCGCACCATCTGGATCGTCCGCTGGATGTCGATTTCGCAGTCGAGACCTGAAACGGTTTTGGGGGAACCGGTTAGCTTGGTTTTGGGAAAAAGAAGGGTGTTTGATTCGATTTTTTTACGGTTCGAGGGGTCTTCAGAACAAATCAGCGACGGGCTTTAGCTTTAAGTTTGCGCGTGAATTCGTAGCTCTAAGTTCACATTTAGCATACAACCTAATGTGATTGATTCGAAGAGGTCGGAACTACAACCGCAGCATTTTCCTTCAAAATTTGCCTATGTTTCAACTACCTGATACTTCACTCAGAACTCTTTTCAGGATTTAGTTGTAATGTTCTGTAGATTTTCCTTAGCATCCTTCCCAGCTTTTTTCGGAGTTCCCCTAAAATTAGCATTCTCTGATATTCTCTTGTAGTTTCCTTTATAATACTCAGTGTTGGGAAAACATTAAAAAATCAAATGTCATCAATGCCCAAGATCAAGCAAGTAATTTCGGGTGAAATTACTAGCTGTGAAATCGTAGCTACGAAATCCAAGCTAACAACCCTCACCAAGCTCAGGGCCACCTTTAGTTCAGTTGGTAAACGCAAAGCTACAAAGCAAGATCATGCTGGAGGAGGTGGCTGGGTTCGATTCCCGGTTCAGTTTAGGAGTATTTCTGCTGGAAAATTTTTAGGCTTCCCTAGGCATAGAGTATTATCGAAGACAACAAATCAAGAAGACTGGCAACTCTTCCATTTTCTCATACGAACGCTATGAGACAGGTACAATCGCGTCATCTGCCGCTCAAAGGTAAATGCTTCGAACGAATTTGATAGCAAAGATTACATCCTCAGAAGAAGGGTTTGTGTATTTGCTCATTTTTCTATGCGTTGCTTCCACCTTCACTCAAGCACAGCGCCATTGTATCTGTCGCTTGGATTCTGGGAAAGTTGCCAGTCTTCTTGATTTGTTGTCTTCGGTATTATTGTACTTGCCACACAGTTATCCTAATGCAAAAATGATACAGCTCTCCATTAATAACTGTAGAAGTGCATCTAGAACACTAAGTTTAGAGCACGTAATTAACAATAAGCTTGAAATGCGAAGAAGAAGCAGAAGAAGAAGACACCAGCTACAATTCTAACCAAATCGTGAAGGGTTTGAGGTTCATAGCTTTTGCTTTACATCCGAACGCGACCCGAAACTACCGTCACTGTTGGCAGCAGTAGCTTTGGCCCGGCCATCGGTGAAGAGTAAAAAGAGAGAGATAGCAAACTATACTTTCTCTTTCTAAGAAAACGAAGTGCAACGGAATCATTTTTTGTATCGAGTCAACTCTCAGCTTCTTTTTCACATTTTGTATATCACCCCCATGTTTGTCTTTTTCATCAATACGTCGCTTAGTTCGAGATCACGAGCACATTGCTCGAAAAAACCTTGTGTTCTCAGCCTCTAATCTGCCATCCGTTTGTTAAAATTTGTTACCCCTAACCTCGAGATAGCCGCGAGTAATCGGCCCCCGCGTTACTAACGTTAGTTTTAAGTAATTTTGTAACCCAAACGATGGATATCGGCTCCGCAAAACTACGGCAAATGAGCCTGGAAAAATAACCACATTAAAAAAAAAATTGTGAATAGTCTCGCAATATCAAAGGAGCTTGTAAAAGAGCGGAAAAATATCTTTTGATTGATGATTTAACCAACACTGACAACAATATCAAAAATCTCTGCAGAACACTCTAAAACATTCTTGGAATTTATCCTAAAATTGTCTTCGTTTTTTTTTAATGATTCTTCCAAGACTTCGTGTTGAAGCTTTTCTTTACTCCTCTGAAATTCTTCTCCGAATACCCCCAAAATTTTAAGGGAAACGTTTCTAAGAATTTCTTGGGAATTGTAGCCTCAAAATTCTATTTCCTTTGTGTTTTTCTCGGAATCCACTTGCGATTATCAACTTTTTTCTTTTCTTTATTATTGAGTTAATTAGTCAGTTGGATAGTTCAGGAATTATCATCCAAATTTCCATGAAATTTGCTTGAAATTTGCTCCAGAATTATTTCAGAACCACACGGTCGGTCAGAGTCAACTTAGCTCAAAAGGAATTTACTCAAAAGTGAGTTGATTTTCCGGCAAAACCCCGGAAATATTTCTAGAACAAATTAGAAAAATCCATGAAAATTTTACTAAGTCTAGGAATATAGGGTGTCCCAGAAAGTATAAGCACCCTTTCAACTCACCGCCATTTCTACCCCAAATGAAGATTATCAGCTGTTCATCGATGTGTATTGTTCTTTACTTATTGCACAACAAGTTGTGCGAGTGCATTTTTTTTACAAAATCATCAAAATGCTAGGCATTTCCCCGAAAAAGCGCAAACAGATCGTGCACAAATGGTGCACTATTCCCAACCAGAGACGATGTTATAAAAGAGACGCGCGGAGAGAATAAAAGTAAATCTGGTTGCACGGCCAACTAATTTCTTTTTCTGCTAGGTTTGGCAACTCGCAATTTTGTGTTTACTTCAAGTTACTTTTAATTTGAGCGACTGTCGTCTGCTTCAGCATCACGGTAAAATGAATACGTTTTTAACCGTATCGGTAGTATCGCTATTCAATGGAAGTATTTGAAGATTCAATTTTTGACAACTCTGAGTGAAACCAAATATAGCACATTGGAGGGTATATTCTACGGAGCGTTGCACAAAATTATTCAATCTGCGATTGTAGCTTCCTATCATGTATTAGTGAAATCTGTCTTTGACACATTTTACTATCTTGAAAAATTACACCGATCTTTGTAACAGAGCCTATGTAGATGTATTACGTTGTGCTGGAGCAAATATTTTGAGAGAACATAACGAGAATTCAGCTGGTGAATAACAATTTCACGTTTCATACGCAAATTAAATTATAATTATTTAAATCTCAACAGTTAACCAGCGTCCGGCTGAAAATCTCCTTAATCAAGACAACCAACATCAACAATTAAATTCAACACCAATCTCAATACTTCCCACGCTTTTCTTCGTGAAGCGCTTGTGTTTATTTACATTGCTCGATTGGAACCGCGTTTGACGGTTCGACTGGAACTTTTGGCTTCAGTCTTCGCGCGTCTCTTATTTAACATCGTCTCTGGTCCCAACCTATCAGTAAGGAAGTTGCCAAACATGGAGGAAGTAAGTATCGGAGCAGTCCGAACCGAAGTGATGAAGTTACCTTCGAGGACACACCGAAATCTGGACGTAAATAAGCCGGGACCGTTGGACCGGAAGATCACCCATTAATGTGATTTTGAGCCAGAAGACTCCTTTCCTGCAACAATTCCCCCGATTTGTTCTGAATGTTGCCAACCCAAACCCTCCATCTTACCTTCCCGGTCAATCTGGTCCAGAATCATATCGATCACAATGAACGTTCCGGTTCGACCGATTCCCGCGGAGCAGTGCACACAAATGGGACCCTGGAAGTAAGCAAAACAAAAAAAAAAGATCGTCATTCCTCCGAGTCACCCGACCCAAACTTCTTGATGCCCTACCGGTGCCAAACCCTCCAGCTGCAGCTGTTCCTGCCGGGCGTTGACGTCCTGCAGGAAGTTCAGCACGCAGCCCGGATCCGACGGAACGCCGTGATCGGGCCACACCTGGAAGTGGTACTGGAAGATCTTCCGCTCGTCCTGCCCCCGCCACGAGAGCAGAAACTCCCGCAGCGTGTAGTCGGCCGTGCTGGTCTCGTTCAGGCAGGTCACCTTGGCCGTGCCCCATTCCTTCGTCTGCTGCGGGTCGGGCCAGTACTTTTCGCACTTCTTCTTGCCCCGTTCGATTTCTTTGGTAGTCATCACTATCACCCGAGTGTTCTCCTGCCAGATCATGTTCCAAAAGTCCTGTATCGTGTTAGCCAGGCAGCCCTGCGTCGCAATGTACGTCTTGAAGAGATCCTTCTCGTCCCGTTGGCTGCCGGCGCCGCCGGCCAGGACGTTACTGGTGGTTTTCGACTGGTTTTGGTTCTGCAGCTGCAACCGGGACGATGTGAGCGAATCGTTTCGTTTGTGCTTGGACTGTGGGAATGTATGGGGAAATTAGATTTGGTAAATGTGTTTGTGTTGGGAACCTACCTCGTTGGCCTTCATCGAGCACTGGGAGCAGGGTTTGTTCAGCAGTTGGCAGCTCTGACAGTTCTTCGTCGGCTGCTGGTTGATGCTGGCGTAGGTGATTGCGGCGCAGTTGTTGGAGGTGGTATTACTGGTCGAGTTGTTGTTCTGGTGGCCCTGCTGGGCCAGATTCTCCGACGACGAGTTCATGTCGTTCTGCTCGGCTTCCGTCGGTTGCCGGATGTAGTTCGCATTGATGTACTCGGCTCCGGACTGCGAGTTGTCCACGTCTTTCAGCTTCACCCGGGTGTGGTCAACTGCAAGGAAATAATCATTATCAGTAACGGAAAACGACCCGCAACGACATTGTTGCACTCCAAGGGCTTATCAAGTTTGTGACCGCTGCTGCCGTGACAATGGAAACGACCGCAAAGATGCAGGCGTTGCGCAAATGAATTCAAAAATCGTGTTCCCCTCTAGTCCTTCTCCTCCTCCGCTCTGCGGTTAAGTCGTTAAGAATTGCAGATCAGCACCGCGCAACGAATAGACAGATCAAAACAAACAAACAACTGTTAAAATGAGCATTAAAATTAATGTACAACGCCACCGTCTAGAGGTAAAATGTCACTTCCGCAAAGGACTGAGATCAGAATGTATGAACCGGAGTAGCGGAGAGCACATTATGGAACACTACATAACGGACCGAGAGACAGAGAAACGAGGAACAGACAGATAAGATCAAATAGGTGTGCGGTTGACAGAGTGAAACGATCTTGAAACGGGACCTTCAATGTCTGGAAGTGAATCTCGGAATGGATTTGTTTTGTGGGTGGTCAAAGGTAGTGGAATATGCCAATTACGGAGACCCAGAATCGTGAGAAAGTGATTAACAATTGCATGGATAATTCTGATGAATGTTGGCGTCTTTAGTACTCTCGTACGCAAATGTAACCACGAAGATTTATTTCAAATTTGAGTTAGGCTCTAGGGCACTAGTGTCATAACTAGCACACTTACACCTATTGCTCTATGATGAAGTTTCGAGTGGTATAAGTGGTCTTCTTAAAACTGCTGAGCTCCGAGAAATTCAGGGAAGTTCAGAGAAAAACAAAGAAGTTCAGAACGTTTTCGAGCAATTTCGAAAACTTCACGGAAGTTCCAAGAACTCTAGGGAATAACCAAAATATTCAGAGAAGTTTAAAACAAAACTTCAGGTAAGTTCCGCGGATTACAGGAAAGTTCAGAACTTTGGGAAAGTTTATGGATCTTTAACGATAAATTCCGAGAGCTTCGGGGCAGTTCTATAAACTTCAAGAAAATTTCGTAAACTTGATAAAGATCAGAGAACTTTATGACAGTTCCATTTACTTCAAGAATAGTTGAGGAACTTCACAAGAACTTCGATAAAACTTCTGATAAGTTTAGAGAGCTTTAGAACAGGTTAGAGAGGCCGTTCGATACAGGAACTTCACAGATGTTTCAAGAACAATTTCCGGAAACTTATAGAACTATGAAGAAGTTTTAAAGATCCTTAGTATTAGGTTCGAATTGTTTCAGGGCAGCTCCATGGACGTATGGAAAATTTAAAGAACTGTTCCATTAAATTTAGAAAATCAAGAGCTATACAAAAATTGATAAATCTTCTATTAAAGATGGGAGGTTATGTGAACTTTGGGACTATTCTGAGAACTTCAAAGCAGTTCCATTAATATCAGGGAAATTGCGGACACTTCAGGGAAGTACTGAGAGCTATAGATCAATTTCTTGGACTACATTCAGAAAAATAACGAGAAATTTCAAGAACTTCCAAAAATTAAAGATATTCCAGAGAACATCAGGGAAGTTCAGAAAACTTTAGAAAAAAATGAGCAGTTCCAGGTAAAATAACGAAAATGAAATGAATTCTTGAATTGACCGTCTTTAAAGTATGAAACTTTAAAATATAATCATTTTTCTCTACAACTTTATCTCAGACGGAATTTCAATAGTAGTGCCATTATCGTGCTACAATTTTTCTTTTTTGAAAAATTCCAATGGCGCCATTTAGAAAATTTCACAAGACCCAAAATGACCGAATTTTTCCAAAAATGTGAATCATTGCCAATAACAAACAATTATGCAAATCGGAGAAAGTCGAGTTTTTCCGATTCGTCATTTGGCGTGGAACTGCTGATTTCAGAAACTTCTCAGCAACTCCGATAAATTCAAGGAAGTGCAGAAAACGTGGAGATGTTAAGGGATATTTAGGGCAGTTTTATTAATTTAAGGGAAATTTCAGAAAAATCCTCAGAAGAATAACGAAAACTTCAGGGTGGTTGATGATGATGACGATGATGGTCCCGCCTCTTACCCCTTAAGATAATCAAATATGACATTTTAACCAGCAAACAAACACAAATTGGTTACAGTTACAAATTGTTTAGGAACTTAAAAGAAGTTTCGAGGAATGAAAGAAAGTACCGATGATTTCGGGGAAGTTTCATGAACGGACTGCAGAATATCAAAGTTTTTTTTTAATCTTTATTTTAGAGGTTTTTAGCCTAAGGCTAGTTCATCTCTAGGAATACCAAGATAAGATCTGATAAAAATTCGGCTCTCCATGGAAGCTTCGAGAACTTCAAGCAAACTGGAGGAACTTTTAAGAAGTTCTATGAACTTCAGGGAAGTCAAGAAATTTTCAGAGAAGTCCAAAAATGTTTAGAAAAACTGTGGATACTTTATATAAATTCCAAGAGCTTCAGACATGCTTGGTCTAGAGATCTTTAGACAAGCTCAAAGATCTTAAGGGCAGTCAAAATAATTGCAGGAAGCCGCAGGCTTTTGGGGAAGTTTAAAGCTCTGTAAAGGTTAGTTTCAATAAATTCATGACAGCTCTATGACTTCCAGGGACATGTCGACAAGTTCTTGGAACTGCAGGGAAGTCCAGAGAACTCCTGAGAAATTTAGAAAACTTCATTCATATTTTGGAAATTTCACAGAATTTCACAAATTTTTAGGCTCAGTCTACAAATTTTGCAAAATATAATTGCCTGAGATTTCCAGGTTTTTCCAGAACTTCATTGGAAAATTTCAATGTACATTGAATAAAAAAAAATTAAAGTGGATTTTTGAAATGGTTCTCAGAATTCCCTAGGATTCCTTCTTTGAGTTCTTTAAAAATGATTGCAGGAACAACCTTGAAATTCTTCATTGTATTCATTTAAAATTTACCTCAAAACGTCGTTGAACATTTTCTTGAAACTCCTCAAATCTTCTTTGAAAGACTCATAACAGTACTTTTCGAATTATCCTAAGAATTTCCATTGAGTTCTTTTCAGAATTTCCATTGGATTATAGTTCTTCTCTTGGAATTCTAGTTACAAGTACGTTGGAGATCTCCTTACAAATCGCCAAAAAAAGTCAACTCAAAATTACTTTGCAGTTTTAGTCAGAGCTCTATTTGAATTCCCTTTGGAATTACCCTGAAATGCTCCACAGAATTGTCTTGTAAATTTACTTTGAATCCCACTAAGGATCAGCGTTGTCCGATATACCGATTTATCGGTATTTTTATCGATTTTCGAACTTGATACCGATTTCCAGGTTCCTAAGAATACCGATTTTTGAGATTGTGACCGTGCTCATCTTGGTAATTTACGGAAATCGTGATAAACTTTTAAAAGGTATATCATAATGCTCTTTTATGACGTAGGATTACGCATTTCGGCAACATATTGGGGGAGCAATTTCAAAAAACCAAAATCGAACGCGTTACGAAAAGTGGTCAGGTTTTGACCACTTATAACTCTGTCAATAGCAGATGAATTTTAATTCTAAACAAGCCAATCGATTGGAAATTTTTCTACGAATCTGCTGAGTTGAATACCTTATCAATTTTCAATATGTCACTACTGAAAATTACACAAATGTCCAACTGTTGCAATGGTGATCAAAATTATCACCGATTGCCTGCAAAAAGCGCTTTCCCTAACACAGATTTCAAAATCGAATTCCATCCGGTCTCGCCGAAGGGTACACTGCTTATTCAATCACCGTGTGTGGTGGTGTCTGGTCGGTCGTCATCAGCAGCAGCAGCGAGCTGCTGCCCATATAAGCGTCCATTCACCGAAGAAGAAGGAAGAAGTCACACCACTACTGATCGGATTCAGTTGCTCGTCTTGAGCCGCTGTGGGCCAAGCGCGTCACTCTCGTTTCAAACAACATACTGCTCGCCAGCCTCATCCATGTTGAACACCCCAATAGCTCAGCATTACTCAACCATTGCGACAAACCGGTCCTTTTTAGGATCACCATAAATTATTGAATGTTCGCCCGCCAAAGCTCTTTGACTATGTACTCAGCAACCAAACGTTTGTGGTCAAATGCGTAACAGTATTGAAGTGGTACATACAAATTCTCGCAATGACCGAATACCACATGTCCAATTAACCAGAAACACTTTGAATTAAGGTAAAGTTTTCTCGAACTTTTGATTGAACGCGAATGGAAAATATTAGCAAGAAATTCTCCGAATAAATTTTCACTTTTTTATTTTTTTTTTGTGCACGAAAATGCATAATTTTGTCATCAGAAAACGAGGGCTTTCAGTGATGGGAAAAAGTGGTTTCCCTAACACAGTCATCGAATATTGATACCGAACACGTAATCAGACGTCTAATCTACGGTAGTGTCTTGCAAGTTTATTTAATCTTCCCTTAGAATTTTCTGCCACCTTACCCAGTAAGTTATTTTCCGACTCCTCCTGGAAAGTTATTTCGACTTAAACCGGAAACTTCTTCTGGCTTCGCTCGAATGGTTCTTCCGTCTTGTCCCGCCATCCTTAGAAGTTTCTACCGATTTACACCGGAAATTTCTTTCGACATCCCCCAGAAAAGCTCTTTCTTCCGGAATCTGTTTTCCCAACTTCTAGATGTTTCTATTGACTGTCCTGATATCGGCTGGTTTCTTCCAAACTACCTTAGGAAGTTTCTTCCAGCGTCTCCAGGAAGTTTCTTTAAACTTCTACCGGAAGTATCTGTCGAATTCTCCCAAAAGTTTCTTTCGTCTTCCTCTGGAAGTTTCCGGAGGTTTTTCCGACACCTTTTGGAAGGTTTTCCCGACTGGATTCCCTGGAAATGGCTACCTCAGGAATTTTCTTCCAATTTCCGGAACCTTTCTGGCTTACTCTTGATTTTTTACAAAAGTGTGTTTAAAGCTATTTTTTTTTTCTTGGAAGTTCCCCGGATGTTTTCCGACTTTTCATAGAACTTTCTTCAAACATGCTCCAGAGGAGCTTCTTTTTTCTATCTATGGAAGTTTTTTTCAGCTTCCTTCAGAA